AAAAACAAGCGCCCCGTATATCGCCAAACGTCGCGCTTTGTGTGTCGCACGCGTTGCCGCATATTTTTAGTGCGCTTTAAAATTTAATTTTTTTTTTTAAGCAATTAAGTACCTATAACTCTACTCTATATTTTCTGAATCAATCGTTTTTTCGCCCACCATTCAGTGAACAACGCCTACCCGAAGCGTATCGGCTCAATCGCTGACATTGATCCTGCAAATGGCATTTATAGCTCGTTGGCTGGCGAATCGGCATCGCATCATCAGTTACATCAGCAGCAGTCACAACAGCAGCTGCAACACCAACAACAACAACAACAGCTATTGCATCAGCAACAGCAGCAGCATGCGCTTCATCAACAGCAGCAACAACATCAGCAACAGTATTATCAGCAAATGATACAACAACAATCGAAGTCAAGTCTGGTAAGTGAACAATCGTATTATTAGTACTTACAGTCAATCAATAAAGTTTACGTACAGATAGTTTTTTGAAATACGGGCAACTAAATATTTAATTTTTCGCTAATTTTTTATACAAATATGGTTAACTAGTGATCCCGCATGGCGTTAAAACGTCCAAAATTGAAATTCAAAAACTTAAAAAATATTCCAAATGTTTGTCAGAGTTAGAAAAGATCCGAGTGCCTTATTTCATCAAATCGTGCAGCCGTTTCTGAGTGAAGAGCAGTCACGCATAGTGCATGTTTTTATCTTCATCGAATTTCAAATCACCCTGTACCGATGAAAAAAGTTCTTAATTAAAAAAAAAATAAAACTTTATCATACATCTACAGGCTAAGCTCTCTAATTTTACCTCCCATTTGTTGAAATTCCTTTTCAAAAGTATTCTCAAACTAAAATCTTCTTAAATCTCTTCGTCTGACATTGTGATACACATGCATTTCAATAAACTGATGAACTAATTCGAATTTGATTGTTCGAACAAATGGCAACCCTCCTAAATAAAGGCCAGGAATAAATCCCTTTGAAACCCATTTCGATTTATACCCATCCTTTAATAATTCACCCAACTTACTGAATAATTTGAATGCAACTTTTTAAACACGTGGCCACTGTCTTCAAACATTTTTACGGTATTTTTATATTTCATATTTAGTTTTTGAATTAGTTAATTAAGTTAGACCTTTCAAACAGGTGGCAGCCCTCTTCAAAAGTATTGTCAAGCTTAATTATCGTTAATCCTCCTTCGCCGCACACTGCGTTACATATTTTAATTAACTAATGAATTAAGCGGAATTTTAATTTTCAAACATGTGGCAACCCCGCTAAATACAGTTAAGAACTACAAATTTTTCAAACCCCCTTCGATTGATACCCATATTTTAATCGTTCATTTAACTTATAAAATAATTTGAATTTAACTTTTTAAACAGGTGACAACCCTCTTCCAACGCCTCAAAATATTCTTAGCGTTCAAACTAAAGATTTCTTAAGACTCCTTCGTTTGATATCCATACCATAAAATATTTTGTATAACTTGTGTATAAGTAAACTAAATTCAACATTTCAAGCAGGTGGCAACCCTCTTCAAAATATTTTCAAACTACTACTTTCTGAAACCCCTTTCGTGTGTCAGCCATATGATGATAAGTATTGCTCTTACCTAATATGATTTTTAAACAGATGGCAACCCTCCTATAGTTCAGCTAAGAAACAAAGCTTTTCGAAACCATTTCGTTTGATACCCAATGTGTAATTATTGATTTATTTTTTAAAATAATTTGAATATAATTTTTGAAAAGGTGGCAACACTTTAAAAAAAAATATAAAACCTTATTGCACATTAAGTATGAAATTCCACAACATTTCCTTCACAAAATAGTGTACTATTATACTCTGTTCACACTGTGAAAAATAATATTTTTGCTGTGAAAACAGCTTCTTTATGTACCCTCTTTTCATATGCTGGACTTTATGGCGAAAAATCCAGGTAAAGTGGATTTTGATGAAAAGTGACTTCATGTCCTTCACTTCAAATAATGTAGAAAACCAAGGCATAATCCCTTGTAGGAAATGTAAAACAAATAATAAAATAAGATATTTTAAAACAACCCCCAGAACCTTTTACTGGATACGCGCCTGAACTATACAAATCAGTTTGGTTGAAAATTTGTTTATATGATTTTGTCTATACTTCACCCTTTGTGAGATGTAAAAATTTCACTTGAAAACAATGTGTGCTGCTGGCAAAATTTCACAGCTGTGAACAGAGTACTACGCCTAAGTGGCAAACAATATCACTTTGAACTTTGGGGGTACTAATGATATGACCAATGCTGTATGTACATATGTATGCAGCTTGAGAAATAATATGCTTAAAAATACTTATCAAAGTTGATAAATCTGACTTTTTTCCTGTTTTATTACACAAATACTCCTATGTGCGACGCTACAAAAACTCTTAAATAACTTTTAGAAAGTTTGTAGAAAACAAATGTTAATGCATATTAACTTCTTTTATACAAACCTAAGCATGCCAAGGAGACATTAATTTAAATAACCAAATTGAAGTAACGTAGGGATGAGGATGCAAATTTGATTGATATCTACTTATTCTACGCGATTATAGGTGAGAATAAAACAATGAAAGAATATTCTTCCACCTATTTTTCCGAAAAATAGTATAATAGTTTTGAATTTTTATTAAATAGATACCCCTACTAGTGCTTATAGATTCGTTGTTTTTTTACTGTTCTAACTAAAAAAAAATATGGCTTTTCGTAGACTTCAAGTTCCTAGATTCACAAAAATTCAAAGTTTTTTTTAGAGCCTACCGACCTTTCCTAATTTAATAGTATAAGTATGTACATACTTAGCAATGGGCTTACGACGAGCACCTTCTATTTTAACGAATTTATTTAATTATATTCCCTTTCTCACTCTTCCACAGCGTGTCTACCGTGCTCTATACGATTACGAAGCCCAAGATACCGATGAAGTGAGCTTCCGTGAAGGTGATGTTATATTTGAAGTAGAATCAGCCGATTCTGGTTGGATGACCGGACGCGTCGAACGCACTGGCAAAACCGGTATGCTGCCCGCCAACTATGTGGAGCAAGCCGTTATATAATAGGGAATGTTATATTATTGTTGTTGTCATCACCAATTTGTTGTAATACTAATTTGTATTCTTTATTTAGTAGTCGTATTAATATTCTTCATTAACATATTTATAGCTGATAGCAATAATGATTATGAGAATGAACACTTAAAGAATTTCGATGATGACAATTATCACAGCCACAATCACCATAATCATCATCATCAACATCATCATAATAATCATTATCATGAGCCACACAACTCTAGGGACATGAAATCCACTACTAATCAAAAGCCGAGCAATCAACCGCAAGTCGAGACTGATTTTTATTATTACTTTAATCATGTCTTTTGATTTTGTCTTTTTACATAATTTCGGTTTTCATCATCTCTACGCCAAGCGAATTTCACTTAAATTGTGAATGAACGAATTGAATTGAATTGAATTGGATTGGCCCACTTTCTAACAGCGAAAGTGTAGTGTTAAATGTCCCTAGGTATGCATTTGGCACATAAATATTCAATAATTAATTATACATAATTAAATGCTCCTGACAAGGAGTTAAAACAGGACGAATGAAATGAAGGTAGCGTAAATGAGAGAAAGCAGCACCAACACGCAATTATTGTTGTTGTTAAAAACGGAACAAAAGAAAAGAAAGGAAAAAGAAAAACAATTATGAAAGCAAAAATTACACATTTTTTATTAAAAAAAAAAAAAAATAGAACTCATGAACACAACTAATATGAATTGAATAGAATTTGCAAATGGGATAATTGTGTTTGTTGTTATATCACAACTTAGATATACTACAATAAGTTTACATATATTATAAATATACATACATACATGCATTATATAAAATTTATATAGTACCTACGTTTACAAACAAAATACAATAAATACTGGCATACAATGTAATTAAATTTAATTAGTAAAGCAATGCAAAAAAAAAACATCTTTCAATAAAGAAACCATAAAAACCGAATGCATAATAAATTAAATCTCGTCACTTGCACTCGATACAACATTATTAAAACGCGAAATCTGGGGAGCGGGAGTAAAAAATGAATACACTTTTGTAATGAAATAAACATTTTTTTTAGTAGATTATTCTAAATTGTTTTTGGTTACTGACCTTTATTGTTTTCTTTGCACCCTATATAACTAAAGTGCATAAAGCCTAGAAAAAAAGTAAAGCCCACAACGTTTCTTTTAGCTCTAATGCGAGGGGTTTGACTGTTTTACCCAATGTGTGTCGGTCGTGGGAACGACATCGACATCCTAAAAACATAAAAATAATAATATATATATATATATTTTTTTGGATTACGACGTTCATTCCAGCAAGCGAACGATATGACATTTAGTTAAGCTCCTCCGCTTGCTAAATATTAGGATTTTTCATCAAGTGTAACCGGGGTATTCAGACGAATCTAGTTACCGTTAAAATTAATTAATCAAAAATCAATATATCGTTACCTTAGTCCAAAAGCAGTCGATGGGCTGCTGTTGTGCGCTATGGCGGTAAGGGAGGTTAACATCTTCTTAGACAGACGGGCGCCAATCAGAGTCGTAGGCTCCATTACGAAACGCTAGAAGCTAGTAAAGGAATGTATTAATTAATTTTCTATCGTGGCGGATTATTACCATGCCAGACTTGTATGGTTGTATGGGTACCAGGTCATAGTAATATCGCAGACAACTGTGCGGCTGATGGCTGGCCAAAAACGGCACCCTCGAGGTAATATCGCCAAGAAAAGGTAGAGTGGGAGTTCCCTTAACTACTTGTGGATTTCGGGCCTCGCGTCAACTCAGCGAACGCTTGGCGAAAAACCAATACTTGTGCTACTGCGAGCTCTTTCTGGCCGTGGGTGGGTAGGGTGCGGTCGAGGGATCTCCTTAGGCTCGCGAAGCCGGAGTAGGTGTAATGACAGGCCACCGTCCTAACGGGGTTCACGCAGTGAGATTAAATATCACAACGAACCCCTTTTATCACAGCTGCATGGAGGACGACGATGACGTGGAGTCACCTCAACTCTTCCTCTTACAACTGCCCAGCTTTTGGTAGATTGCGGCTTAGGCACTTGAATTCGTACTTTCTGAGTAGTTCGTAGGAGCCACCCAGGTCTAACTGAGTCCCTTGACAAAGGACAATCACCTTAACCTAACCTAGCCTATCTTAATACTTAATATAGAGAGACTCGTAACTCATTTTCTTTCCTCTGTACGAAAGTTAATTCATCAATACGCCATTAAACTATATCGTTGCAGGCATACTAGAAAACAGTGTGTTGAAGAAATTCTCAACTTAACGGTTGTTCTGCAGTCGCACTGTAAAAATAAACATTTTCATTAGATTTTGTTTGGACTGCGAATGGTCTACGTATTTAATCGTTTACCCAATTAGTATCAGCATACAATGGGCCAAATTTTGTTTTAGCAAAATAATTCCAATGGGTAATGTAAAGGCTAACAAGTAATTTTTAAGCAAAAAATACAACCAAGAGCCTATATAAAAATTTAGCAGCACCGTTAATTCCTTCATGATCCACTGATCGGAATCAAACCATATTAGTATGGGACCACACTTGAGGTGGTACCTCTCCGATACAAAAAGAATTATAGGAAACGGTTCACGTGGTCTCAAGTTATCCGGTAACATACAGTGACGACCAAAAGTATTGGCACAGAGAATTTTTCACAGTGAATGCATAGTTTTTATTCTAATTTATTTTCGCCAATTTTTTATAAAAATCTATTTCATACTACAACAAAGCAAATAAAATCGCTAAACTTTGTGTAAAACTAAGGAAAATTCAAAAAATTTGCATACTAATTTGCAACTTTCTAATCAGTTTTTTTTTTTAGAAAAATAGAATAGTGCAACAAAAAGCAAGTTTGAAGCTGCTAAAAATAGCGTTAATTTTTGCCAATTTTTTATTGTAGTATGAACTATATTTTTGTTCATTACTGTACATAAAAAAAACATAAATATTCCGATGAATTGATAACATTCCTCGTTTTTTGAAGTCGGTAAAAAATATAGATATGTACTTGTACATTATAAGTATTTATAAAAAGTTATAAAAATTAGACCAAACACAGGTAAAGGCATTTAAATAAATGAAATTCGAACGAATTTTTAGCAATTTGCAAAATTGACTTGACATAATATCCAGTAAAGACTAAAGCGAGTAAATTAAAACAATTATTACTATACATTAATAAATACCTAATAAGTACACACAATTAAGTATTAAATAAAAATTTTATAAATAAATATCAATTTAGGTGAAAAAATATATGTATGACACACATTTAATAAAAAAAAATAATTAAAAACCAATCACTAACAAACCAACCGCTTTTTATAAACAATGACTTTTATCGTTGTAATAGCCGGTTATCAATTGATGAAGCCTCTAGTGAATCCTATTGGACTGAATACTAAAATATTTAGCATTTTTACAAATGTAAACAACTAGTACTAGTATTTATAATATTTGAGACATCGCGCTTGCACATACAATTTTGATAGCTTACCAAGCGTTTGTTAATTTTTACCCAACCTTCAATGCACTAGATAGGAAAAATTCTCAAAAAACAAAATGTAGTTCGAAATAACAAAAAAATTCTTATTATGCATAAAATGTATGTCCTAAAGTGCCTTTTATTTGCATACACCTAAAATGCTTAACTACAATAAATAAAAATACATTTGAGGCATTCTTTCCGAATGTTACTGTACACCTGCACATTTTCCTTAAAAAAAATTAAGTATTTCAATGACGCGGGGTATATTGAACTTGGATGTGTTTTCAAGGTCAACATAATTTTTTAGCTGAAACCCCCATTACTTCAGATAAAATCAGGTATGTAGATATTATATTTGAGTCCTGTGGACCAAACACAAAACATTACTTTTCCTTAAAAAAAGCTTCAGCTTTTTACATTAAAGTTTAAAATTTTGTTTCATATAATTTATTTTGTGTTCATATAGAGTTACTTATCTCAACCACATGCGACACCTCATAAAGACAAACGGACCTTAAAACTGAGATCCAGGTCGGATCGAAGGTCAACCCTTGGAAGGAATTGACCTTCATACGACCTTGGGGACAAATGACCCCAACACTTGATTTCATATCTGCACGTGTCATATCTTTCCGGCTATTACCGAATACGTGATTAAAGCTGGGGCTTAACAGTAAAGCTGCAGTTACAAGGATCAAGTTCTGTCGACTGCAAAAATCTACTAGAAAAGGCAGCTTTAAGGTGGTCCTGGAAATGATCTTGTAAATAACCTGCAAAGTCAATATGCCAGTTTGAAAGCTTGTATTTTTTATGAATATATTTTAAAACAATTAAAAAAAAAAGTTGGCAGGTATGGGGGGTAGCGTTATGAAGGAATACCTCATAAGGCTGTAGATTCGTATGTTATATGTAAAAATCTGTTATTATAGATACATAATTGAGAAAAAAGGTTTCGTAAACAATACAGTAGGGTGGCCCCTAAAATATCAACATCTAAATTTTGTAAGTACAAAATAAAGACATCCACGAATATTTCATGTTTTAAATAAACTTTTAGGGTTCGCTACCGTATTTGAAAAATTTTTAATAAAAAAAATTCTACATAATTTGTACTTGAAATCTGATAAATCAAATATTTTGAAGACCATCCTACTATACAGGTATAACCTTTTTTTTACATACAAATAATGAACACATACTAACATATTACGTTAGTTATACACTTTTTTTTCCAAAGTAGTGTTGCAAAATCTAAATTATGTACTAAATGTTAATATAGCAAATAGTGGAGATGCTAGATTGTAATAAAGTAAGCCGGTTTTTGAAGTAATTAAAATAAAAATAAAAGCAGAAATGGGGAAAAAAACTTTTCAAAAATTAATCACTCCCAAAATCATTATATGTATATAATTTTAAAACAAATACCAACTCTGTTGTATTCGTAAAAAAATATTTTATTAAATTAGGCATAACAAACAAGATAAACTTTAGATATCGAAGGGCTTATATTATATTCAATACCATACATTTGCAATTTTCAAGTTTCGGATATAAAAATATAGTACGTAAGGCAATTTAAAATTTTTTAATCAGAATTTCCAGAATAAATTTCTTGTATGCAGTTTTATTTAAGTTTCAAGTGGCTAAGAATTCGCGCGGATTTTCGAGAATCAGGACCTTCTCTCAGGCACT